CAGGTGCCGGCTCATCAAGGCGCGGGCTCCGCGACGCCGCTCCGCCCCTGGTCGGGGCGCGGGGGCGAAAGGCGAGGCGAGGGGGTGGCCAGGACTGCTGGGGCCTGGGGCCGGGGCGGCCAGGGGCCGGCCCTGGTAGTGGGTGGGCCCCGGGCCTTCCTGAGCCCGCGACTGAACCGCGGAGGCGTGTCCGTAGCCACTGCTCAGGGCTGCAGCCCCCGCGCAGGCTGTCGGTGAAAACCGGGGTTAAGGGGCCCCAGTGCAGCCTGTCTGCCTCAAGGGCCCGCGCTGAGCTGCCCAGATGATGAAGAACAAGCGGAGGGACCCGGGACACAGGTCAATGCGATGCCACACGCGCACCGGTGGAGAAGGCGCCGGGCTGACGGGAAGAGGACTGCTGGTCCCGGCTTGTCACTATGCCCCCCACCCCCATTTAATATCGCAGGTCTGTTCGCTGAGGGCAAGCTCATGGAGGGGGGGCTCTCAGAGGGCTGAATCTGTGCTCCCGAGTTCATAAAATGTTTCTTGCCTTCTTACTAAAAAAATCAGAATTTTAAAATTCTCATGGCCCGTTGAGTGGGTGGGGGTGCTGCGCAGACTGGGACAGGTGCGTGGAGCTGGGGGGCGGGTCTGAACAGAAGCCAGGTGTCTTGCTTTAGGGTTTCTGTGGCTCTGGACACCACGTGCTTTTCATGCTGTAATCATGGGCTTCTCCCAGGGCTAGTCCTGCCCATGTGGACTTTGGGGGTTGTGAGAGGTGGGTACTTCTGCAGACTTAAGGAGCAAATTAGCTTCTCGGGCCTAGGATCGAAAATCTGGGTGTCTGATGTTTCCTTCTGACTCCTTCTATGAGGTTAATACCTTCTGGTTAACGAGGGGTTTAGAAATAGAGCCTGGTCTCTCGGCTGGAAATGGAACATTCTAGGCCACGTGAACAAGGTGTGAGGGGGGCAGTGGGGTTACTTTCAACATGAAAAATCAGGACCTTGGGAGGTGACGTGGTGGTGAATGGAACATGAGGGTTCAGTGGTGGCCCCTGAAGGCACCTCGTACACGACGGGGAGAGCCTGGGTGGTGCAAAGGGGGTTTCCGGTTCAGTGTATACCCAAGCCCCTGCTATGCGCACTGTGGTCGGGGTGAGTCGGAAGGATGTGCAGGCTGGTGTGATGTGCAGGCTGGTATGGGCACAGAGGAGTGGTACCATCTCCTAGATTAAGATGGGGTGGGGGTGGGGCAGAGACGGGCCAGGGAAAGCCTCCAGCCGAGGCCTGCTAAATGCCGAGCTCACCACGCCACACCCCTGCTGACTTCCCGTTGGGGGAAGACCAAGCCCCTCACCTGGCAGGAGAGCCTTCCGAGGCCCAGCCCCTCTCTCCGGAGCCTCCTCTCCCCTGAGCCCGCCCCCCGCATGCCCACCACACCCAGGCACGAAGCTTTACTGTTATTCAAAGAGCTTTGCTCCAAACACCTGGATCAGAACGTCTTAGGATTTTAATCGCTAGGTCCAGGGATCCCGTCGCCGTGGAGCTGATGCCGACTCGTGGAGATCCCGCGTGTGTCAGAGGAGGACTGTGCTCTTTAGGGTTTTCGATGGCTGGTTTTTCAGAAGTAGATGGTCAGGTCTTTCTTCTGAGGCATCTCTGGGTGAACTCCAACCTCTAGGCTTCCAGCTAGCGGCTGAGGGCTTCACCCTTTGCACCACCCAGAGACTGTAGACCAAGGAGGAACTCAGAAATACCGATTTTACCTTGTCTTTCAGGTGATTGCTATACACGCTGCAGTCTGAGACGCACAGACCTTTGAAAAACAAAGTTGATGATGGGCCCTGGGCGGGGGTGGGGGAGGAAATTTCCTTTTGCCCATTGCTGAGGTCTTTGTCAGTGAAAAACAGGGCATGATGCATCTTGTAATAGATTTTCCTACGGCATTAAATGAGGAATACATCGGCCTCTCTGCTGTCACTGATGCTGTGCTGCCTGGTACCATCTGTGGGGTACAGGCTGGACCCCACTTTCACAGGGAATTTTGAAAAACAGGGTCTAATTGTACAACGGTTTGGGGAATGGAAGATGTTGACGTTTTCTAAACATCTGAAAAATTGCTGGTGCTGGGCTTAGGCTAGGACATCAGGGACATCCAAGTTTTTGTTTTTCTTTCAGTTATTTTTGATCTTCTTGGTTTACTGTTGTTGAATTTTTTTGCAAATGATACAGTTGAGGCTTTTTGTCCATCTACATGAATTATCTGATTTTGTGGCTGCAAGTGGATTTGATTTAAGGTGTGCATGGAGAGAGGGAAGAAGGTCTTGATTTGTTTTGTGGGGGAGGTTGTGCTTGCACTATATTCTGTAAACGTCTGTCTTGCACTGATCACCTTCAAGGCGAGGAGGTTTGTTGTGGAAGTTTCTATAGCAGGTAAGAAAGTGAGGTTGCTCAGTTATCCAGATGGAGGCCGACAAGGTGTTGTCTTAGGGGTGCTTGGGGATATTTATTTCTAAGTCTTGTTTGGTTCCCTTTCATCTTCCTGACCCTCATCAGACCAGTTTGGAGAGGAGGGGAAGGATTTTTTTTTTTTTTTTTTTTGTGGATGTATACACTTATTTCAACAATTTTTATATGCATAATTCAGTGACATTGACTACATTCTTCAAGCTGTGCTACCATTCTCATCATCCTTTTCCACATTATTCTACCACCATTATCTCAAACTCACTGCTCCCTGAGCTTGAAAGGGAAGAGTTCTTTTAAAATATTGTTTTGGTTTCTTATTTTTCACAGCCAAGCTATGAAACACCATCATCACCCCCTTTACGAGAACCATTTATTCTAACGTCTTTTTCTTCTCCTGGGCAGGAGGATGACAGAACACCAGGAAACACGTCTGACGCTCTTAAGGAATATACTGGATCGGTTTTTCTGTTGGTGCGGTTAACTGTATAATTTGGTCAAGCAACTGAAATAAGCCGTCTTTGTCCTTCTCCCTTCCCCCCGCCCCCCAACCAAGAGAAAAATAATCAGAACACGAAGGCTGATTCAGACCATTTTTCAAAGCAGAATCGCCGGTCATTTGTTCTTGCTCTAATGTTCTTGGTGTGGGCAGCAACAGGTCATCAGAAGCTCTGGGGCCAGAAGACGTGTGACCTGCAGGCAGAAATTTGAGCGGCTCCTGGATGCAGTGAGCACAGCCACAGCAAACATAGGGAGGAGGGCCTGGGGGACAGCCTGGAGGAGACACACCCTCCAGGGCAGGGCGAACAGCAGGATGTGAGGCCAATGGCAGGAAGGTCAGATCAACACAGGGACCCCCAAGGGACCCCCCCCAGCGGACAGAGCCAGTGATGGGGAGAGATGTTGGAGACATCAAGGTCTCCGCCCAGTTGAAGCCCCAAGAAAGGCAGCTGGAGGTTGCTGGGGAGGGGAATTGCCAACACCTGGCTAAGGTGAAGTCTGCTCCTGCCTGGACAAGGCTGTTTCTGCCACTATTCAGGGTGATCACTCCTAACACCCTCGCTGCAAACCCCCAAGATTTTGTGCTTCTCACAAGAATGTGACCATCTTGAAAGCCTGTTATTGCTGCTGCTGTTTTCAGTCAGGCTGTGATCACAGTGGGTTGTCCTTGCATGTGCTCTGTGATTTACAAAGTGCCTTCCTGCCTGTTCTAACACCTTCTGGATGTGTCCGAGGATAGGTCGGTTGGACTCTGTTCTGTTCTGGTCTTGTCCAGGATTGCAGGTTATATTCTATTATTGCTTATGCATTATAATGTTATATTATTTTTTCAGTTGGAGGCAGTGTTTCTATTCTAACCTGGTTTTGTCTGAGATTGCAAATTATATTATTGCTTATATTTTTCTATTGGGTTTTCTGACTTTTTCTTACTGATTTGTAGGTGAACTCATGAGCTTTTGAGAATATATTTCCCAGCTGTGCCCACCGAAAGGGCCTAGAAGCAGTGACACTCAGTAGCAATGAGCACACCCAGCACTCAGATCTTGGTCTCTAAATACCATTCCCTAATAAAAGGAACCAGGACTCTGAACTCACAGCTTTCACAGGCAGAGCAAGAACAGTTCAAGGAAGTGCACAAAAATGGATTATTGCTTTTTTATATTGCTAATGACAGCATGGCCCTCAGGACCCCTTGACTTTGTCTGTAGCTATACCCCCTCCTCCCCCTCTGCCCTCACCTTTCAGTTCTGTCTCAGAATGGCTGTGCCTTCCATGCTGCAGGGCCACAAATCATCTTCTTTCATCTGCACAAAACATCTTCTCTTTCATTTCTGTCAGAGTCTTACTCATACTTCCAAGCCCAACCCAAATATCCTCTGGAAGCATGTCACAGCCAGGCAACGCCAGAGTTAACTGCACCCTCCTTTGCCCGCCCCAGCAGGTGTGGGCAGCGATACAATGCCACTTAATGCCATCTGTCCTGCGAGAGTTTGTGTGTCCCCACTGGACTGCGGGTTCACCCAGGCACTTTCTACTTGCTTTACAAATATTAGCTCATTTGATCTTCATAACCCCATGAAGTTCTATTAACCCCATTTTATAGGAGAAGAAAGGAGGCACAGAGGCTTAAGTAGGTGCCAGAGGTCACATGTTGGTAAGTGGCACGCCCAGGATTTGAACCCAGGCAGTCTGGTTCTAGCCTGAATTATTTTTTTTAAATTTTATTAAAAAAATGTATAACATAAAATTTGCCATTTTGCCTATGTTAAGTGTGCAATTCAATGACATTAATTACATTCACCGTATTGAGCAATATCACCACTCTCTAGTTTTAAACCTTTTTCTTCTCCTCAAACAAAACTCAGTGCCGCTTGGATTGAGGTTGGCCTGACCTTGTCTTTGTTGTTGTTAGTGAACATCAAGTCAGCGCCAACTCACGGCAGCCCCCGTGTACCACAGAACAAAGTGTTGCCCGGTCCTGTGCCATTTTCATGATCGTTGCTATGTTTGAGTCCATGGTTTTGGCCACTGTGTATTTTGAGTACCTTCCAACACAGGGAACTCATCTTCCAGCACTATATCAGACAGTATCCTGTTGTGATCCATAGGATTTTCATTGTTTAATGTTCAGAAGTAGATCACCAGGCCTTTCCTCCTAGTCTATCTTAGTCTGGAAGCTCCACTGAAACCTGTTTACCATGGGTGACCCTTCTGGTATTTGAAATACTGGAGGCATAGCTTCCAGCAGCAGCATAGCAACATGCAAGCCACCACAGTAC